GTATATGTAGCAAAATATATATATCTAATACATAAATAAAAGTATACTCTTAACTTTTGAAGGTTATGGCTTGACCAACTTGAATTAAAAGAACTTTATGTCAAGATTAAATAAAATAGATGATCTGTAAATCTAATTATAGGGTTCTAGAATCATCAGAAATGTATACATCGTTGGGCTCTGGACACCACATATCTCTACATTGGTATGATATTGTCCACTTTGGACTTAAGCCCTCATGGATTTACTTTTAAGCTTTACCCCAAAAGGCTTCATACCAATGAAGATATTTGTCCATCCTTATAAACCTGTGATCATCCCCACTTCTAACCAATATGGGACTTTGGTCGTATACCCAACAATCATCTTCTCGAACAAAGGACCACCGAGCCTCCCCTCAAATGATCATCCATCCGTCCACTCTCTACCACCCAGGATTCTCCACTCTCCTCTTCACCGAGGTGGGGTCAGGGCAAGTCCATGAAGCAATCGNCGAGCCCCCCCTCAAACGATCATCCATCCGTCCACTCTCTATCAACCAGAATTCTCCACTCCAATGCATTGGAGGCACACGCCTTACATGGAATACCACCTGTCTTGAGAACTTGCTCTATCCAGATCAACTCCTCTTCACTGTGTTGGGGTCAAGACACATCCATGAAGCATCCGGAGCACCAGCCTGTCCAATAGAGCTCATCCACGGATCCCATCGCGAGCAGACCAAGGCTCACTACCTTCGTTCGGCATTTCGAGGAATTCATCCACATGGCTAAATCTGGAGTTTGGCTCTGATACCAATTATTGAGTCTAATTCCTCCTACAATTGAACAAATCAAAGTAATTAGTTTATTTAATTAACAATAAAAGGAAATCAAAGTTAAGAAATCAAATCAAGAAACTAATTTCAATAAGAACAATTAATTCCCCTTTCTCTTAGGCTCAGAAAACTTAATCCAACACCACAAAGGCAATACCAAATTTTTGGAGAATTACACAGGCACACAATGGCAGAAGATGGACAGGAGAATTTGCACAAAGCAAGGGCAGATTTCTCACAAAGCATAGAACGTTTTTTTACTTCTTCCAAAAGGTACAAAGTAAATAATTTTTGATGTGTTTAATTGAAAACAAGAGGCTTCAATTTATAGGCAGAGAGTTCAACAAATTTCCTAGGATTTTCTCTCAAAGATAAATATCACGAGAACCCAAAATGGTTACCAAAAGATAATGATAGGGTTTTACAATTTTGAAAGAGATAAACCCTTATCACTTTCTCTCCAATAAGTTGGGTATTGAGCATCTAGTCTAATGGGCTGATTTCCTCTAAATA